AATAGTGTTTAATCTCAACTTTGATTTCATCTGTGACCCATTGGTTGTTCAGGAGGATGTTATTTAATTTCCAACTGTTCTTTTTTTGTACCAGGAATCAAACTCAGGACGTTGTGCCTGCCTGACAGGCGCTTGTGCCACTGAGCTATATCCCTAGCCCCTAATTTCCAACTCTTTATGGAGTTTCTGTGTTTTCTTTTATCATTAATTTCCAATTTCATTGCACTATGGTCTGATAGTATACATGGGATAATTTCAATTCCTTTGCATTTACTTAAACATGTTCTACGTACTAGTATATGGTCTATTTTAGAGAACGTCCCATGTGCAGCTGAGAAGAATGTGTATTCTGATGCTGTTGGGTGAAACACTCTGCAAAGGTCTACTAAGTCCATATGTTCACAAGTTTGGTTAAGTTCTGTTATTTCTTTCCCAATTTTTTGTCTAGTTGATCTATCTCTTTGTGACAATGGTGTGTTAAAGTCCCCTGTTATGATTGTGCTGCTACTTATTTCATTTTTGATGTCTGTTAAAATTTGTCTTATATAGGTGGGTGCTCCTATATTTGGTGAATAGATGTTTACAATTGTTATCTCTTTCTCTTGAAGCTTCCCCTTCATAAGTATGTAGTGACCTTCTTTATCTCTTTTGATTGTTCTTGGTTTGAAGTTCACATTGTCTGCAAACAGAATAGCTGCACCTGCCTTTTTCTTGGTTCCTGTTGCATGCAGTATTGTTTTCCACTTTTTATTTTCATTCTATGAATTTTCTTTTGAGTTAAATGTGTTCCTTGTATACTGCATATAGTTGGAGTTTGTTTCCTAATCCACTCTGATAGTCTGCTTATTTTGGTTGGTGCATTGAGACCATTTACATTGATGGTTATAACTGATATGTGTTGGCTTATCTTTGTCATGTTATTTTCCTGCTGTTGGATCCTCTTTTTTTCCTCTGTTTAATTGCTTGCTCTGATTGGTGGTTCCTTTCTGTTGTTCTTGAAGTTGCAGTCGTTTTACCTCTGTCTAGAATATCTTTTGGTACTCTTTGTAGGATTGGTTTGGTGCTCATGAATTTCTTCAGTTGTTCTTTGTCATGAAAATATTTTATTTCTCCATTAAATTGGAAAGACAGTTTTGCAAGGTACATCAGTCTGGATTGGAAATTGTTTTCTTTCAGTACCTGAAATGCTTCACTCCAAGCTCTTCTTGCCTTGATGGTTTGGGTTGAGAAGTCTGCTGTGATTCTAATAGGCTTTCCTTTATAGATGATCTGTTGCATTTTTCTAATAGCTTTTAATATTCTGAGCTTCTGTTGAGTTTCTGGGATCTTTATCACTATATTCTGGGTGTAGATTTATTTTGGTTATGATTAACTGGTTATGATATGCTTCACTTATCCGGATGTCCAATTCTTTTTTCATGCCTGGGAAATTTTCTGCTATTATTTCTGCAAATAGTCTTTTTATGTCATTTGTGTTGACACCTGCTGTTTCATTAATACCTATTAATCTGCCTATTAATTGTTTTTCTTTGCTTCATCTTACAGTTGTTGAATTATTATTTCCTGGTTCCTCATTTTTTTTTTTTAGAGATCCCTCCTTTCTCGTTCATTAGCAGTAATGCTGTCTTGAAGGTTTGAAAGTATATCTTCAGCTTCATTCATTTGGTTTTGCAAGCTTTCAGTGGAATTTTTAATTTCCTGAATATCTGTTTGCATCTGTTTCATACATTCTAGTTTTTTTCTATATTGTTCCCTGAAGATTTCCATGAGTTGTTTATGCTCTTTTATTTTCTTGTCAATGTCATCTTTGGATATACTGAACATTTCTTTCATTATTGTTGTCATTGCTTTTTTCACCTGAGACATTATTTCTGATCTGATGTCTTCTATGGCCTGATGGAGTTATTTCTTTACTTCAGCTGCTATCATTTCAGAAATTTCAGATGTATGACTTCCAGGCTCTTCTATGTTGATGTCTCCTGGACTTGTTTTGGGTGGTGTGGAGGTCTGGGATTGCATTTTGGGCCTTTGTTTTGTCATTTTTGAAGATCCAGAGGCTCCCTGGAGTGCAGCCTCAGTTTCCGGATTGTGCGTGAGTGGCAGGGAGAGAGTCTGAAGATCCACAGTGTTCAGTGCAGCTCCTGTGCTGGTGAGTGGTGGCAAGGTGGGGTCCCAGGTGCTCCCGAACTTTCTTGCATTCAGTTGGCTCCCAGGCATCTGTAGGAAGGGTGGGGGAGGCTCGCTGGAGTTCCTGAGACTGTCTGGAGTTTGGCCCAACTTCCACAAGAGTAGAGGGGGATGCAGGTCGTGTTCACCGAGGCTTCAGATATTGCCCAGGACAGAGCCTGCTTCCCACACTGGAAGGGGAGGGGTGAGGGTGGGCTCCCTGAAACGTCTGATTCCGTCCAGGTTTCAGCTGAGCTCCGGGGATTAGGTGTGAGTTGTTCTGGCAGTGACCACCGAGGCCCCAGAAGTTGTCCAGGGATCCACCTGCCTCACACCCTAATGGGGGAGGCACCAGAGTGGCTCAGTGGGGCTCCTAAAGGTGTCTGACCTTTGACCCAGCCCCGGCAGACATACTATGGGTGTGGCGAGTAGCCACCGGGGCCCCTGAGGGTGCCCAGGTTCTGCCTGCCTTGCACTCCGGTCAGAGAGGTGCTGCTGTGACTCACTGGGCTTCCTGAAGATATCTGGGATTCAGCCCAGCCTTGAAGTTGACTTTTAAAAGCCAATGTGCAACCCTCCATGTTTATAGACTCTCAGGTGATTAATAGTATAGTGTTCAATTATGGCATCTAGAATTAAAGTACCTGCTTTGAAAGTGTCTCAGAGTTTTAAATTTAAAGCATAAAGAGTTATGTTTCATCTTATGTTAATTAGAGTTACATTTTCCATTTGTTAGTGTACATGTGCTACATGTTTTGTGAGGAATGGTTAACATTACCCTCCAAGTCAGTTCTATGCATAACCATTTACCAGTTGCTATACTGCTGATGAAGTTTCTTTTTTTTTTTTTTTTTTGTCTTTTTGAGACAGGGTCTCCATATGCAGTTCAGGCTGGCCTTGACCTCACTTTGTAGCCCAAGTTGGTCTCGAATTCACAACGATCCGCCTGCCTCAGCCTCCCAAGTGCTGGGATTACAGGCATGCGCCACCAAGCCCGGTTTGAGGAGGTTTCCTAAATGAAACATTCTGAGCTATGTTATGATTCATTGTTATCTTGTTGCTTGACAAACAGGTTTGTAAGGAATTAGAACTGTGTATGTTACTAGTACCTTTGTGTAACAAGATGTAAAATTGAAGATGATGATTGTGTGCAAATGATCATTCAGTGCTTTTTAAAACTGGTAGGACTACATTGAAAGTTTCTGTGGTTTGTCTGTTTTAACTTTCACCTTAAAGTGCATACAATAAGTTAAAATGAAAAAAAATTATGCAAGAAACTGAAATAGTAGAGTCTAGGAGACAGTGCCTTTGCTAAAAGGTCGGTGAGTGGTTCAAGGCGCTGACTTCAAGGGTCAAATCGGGCCCTTTAATATGGGCTGATGATGCTGGGAGAGCTATTTTAAACTACTGGTGTGATGGGGTGTGATGGCAGATTCCTGCAATCCCAGCACTCTGCAAGCTTGAGGCAGGAGAATCACAAGTTGGAGCCCAGCCTGGGAAATTTAGTAACTTAATGAAATCCTGCCTGAAAATGAAAAAAAAAAAAAAGCTAGGGGATATCTCAGTGCAAAGGCCCCTGGTTCAATTCCCAGCACCAAAAAAACAAAGCAAAGCAAAGCAAAACAAAGCAAAGCAAAGCAAAGCAAAGCAAAGCAAAGCAAAGCAATGCAAAGCAATGCAAAGCAAATCCAAACCAAACCACTGTCTTAGGCTCCTCATTTATAAATAGGGATGATATAATAATCTTTACTATAAAGGATTATTGTGCAGATTACATAATTAATGCATATGAAGTACTTAGAATAGTGCCTGGCATATAGCAAGGACTCAAAAATTATTAGTTTTTGTTATTATTTTCCCAGAAGACTTTTATCAACTTTTCTTAGTAGTTTATGATTTGCCATTTGGAGGATTATTTCTTCTCAAAAGATGAATTGCTTTAAATGCAAATAAAACTGCAAAAATGAATAGAAATGAGACAGTTAAGCTGCGTAATTATAGAACATTTTCTATTTTTATTTAGTTATCTAATGATTTCTAAAGACCTTCAGATTCTTAAGGTCTTTTTCTTTTATTAAAGTAGATTAATGAACAAGCTTTTGGATATAGATAGCAACAGCTGACACGTATATAGACAGCATTTACTATGTGCCAAGGAGGCAGCGCACTATTTTGCATATATTAAGTCCCATGGCTTGCTGGGGCAAAGACAGATTCAGACCCAGGCCTGTTCTGAATCTAGGCTCTAGCTGTAATCTCCTCAATCTACTTGGGTCTTCACGAGCTTTGTTACAAAGCCTGCAACCCAAGGAGACGGGGTCAAGGAGTTTGCAAATCTAACCAAATCCTGGAACATGGTATAATCCCAAGGCCACTGTCCCCTTAACATCCCTTAAAGGCCACTGTCCCCTTAACATCCCATAGAAGACATCCCCTTAACATCTGTCTTGGCCTTTCCTGAAGAAAATTTCCCGTGTCATCCAGATGCCACACACGTTTCTGCAGGAGATTTTTCCAGAGAATCATAGACTGTTTTTAAAGGTACACAATTGTGCATTCCTTAATTAAGTCCTGTGAATTATTCCAAGGAACCTCTTTGGAATAATCACTGTTTCACAAAAATAAGAAGACACCAATATAAGGTACATTATATCCTACCCAGGGAATCAGGCTGAGTAATTAGAGCTTAAGGCAGATCCAATTATCCACAGCACACAGCCACATTAAGACCTGGAGCTATGTGAGGAAGTGGAATGCCTTCATTCCCGCAGCAAGAGGCTCAAACTCAATAAGCCCTCTTCCAATCATCTGCCCCACTCCACCCAAAGTCTTACCTTGTTCACAAAGTTTCTTTGTCAGAGAGCCCTCATCTTGAAAATAAATAATGCGCTTCTGTACGATGCTGGCTCTGCGGGGAAAGATGAGAACACAGAGGTGAGGCGGGCAGGTGTGAGGGTCCGTCAGGCGCGATACGATCCTTGCTGCACCATTTATGTTGTGTGGCTCTGGGTGAGTGGACCCAGCTTTCTGTACTCATCAGAAAATGGCACAGTGTAACAGTGAGAACTTTATGAAAATGTATATTAAGAGCTTAGTATGTGCCTAGGAATCACCTTAATACTAGTTCCTAAGTTGTTGTGTTCTATCATTGTTTATTTTGAGACAGGGTCTTGCTCTACAGTACAGGCTGGCCTTGAACTCAGTATGTAGCCCAGGCTGGCCTTGAACTCCCTGTGATCCAATCCTCCTGCCTCAGCCTCCTGAGTGCTAGAATGACAGGCATGCATCATCATGCCTGGCTCCTAAATTTGTTGATAATGTTACTTTCAAAGTAAGAAAGTGAATGAACAGCATTTCCTATGCCTTTTCTCAATGGTTCATTTTATTCTACTCTTCGTATTAAACTACTGAGACCATTTATAGATCAACCAAATTCAAATTATAGAAGCATGTCAAATCTTCTTGCTGAAGGGAAAAAAGGGAATTTAAAAATATATTTTGATTTGTTCTGAAAATGTCATTCTATATCTTTCCTGAAAGTCTAGACAAAACTGTCTCCTACATTTTGAACAAAGACGACTTTAGCTGTGATAACTCTCTCTCTCTCAAATACGTCAAACATAGGCTCTTAGAATTTGGGAAGCACATTTTGAGGTAAAAAAATGACTTACTTTTGGTCAGCTCATATTCTCTTTTTTATATGGGAATGCACAGACGTGCTGTTTCTCCTTTAACTCACTCTGTTGTTTATTTCAGCTGGCCTTGGCGAGATTGAATCCTGAAACCCAGTGTTCCAGTAATTTGAAAGTCTACAACATTTAAAATTGAGATGGTGCCAATAAATCTTGGGCCATTTCTATTGATTTTCTTCAGCAAAGCTACTCAATCAGAAGGTAATTTTCACTTCGATTTGCCCTATTTAACAGATAAAGGCATCCCTTGACTCCATTACAGCTGACCACACTGAATAAGTACTGGAGTCATAGGATCTGCCCTGAGTCAGACAAGCACAGACCCAGGAATGAGGCTGTGTGTGCAGGATCTGTGGAGAACAGAGGCAATTTTCCTGATGGTCTGGGCCAAGGCCAAAACGATTTTCCAAGGAAACGTCTACTCTACATCCAGCCTTGCAAAAAGAGATTATAATTCAGAGAAGCCTACAGATGTCTTTTACAGTCTTTCTCCACCCAAGAGAGACAAGATGTTGAAATAACTGAATGAAATATGCTTCCTGTCTACACAATGCTGCTTTGATCATTTATCCATTCTGTTGACCACTTAAGTGGGAAAGCTTCCTCAGGCCAAGGCTGTAACACTCAATCCTACCCAGAAGCCAAAGAACAAAGCCTTTTGTTAGAGTACCCACCATCTCCAACTGTGCTTTTCAAGATGTCCAAACTGGGGGACCCCATGGAGTGCAAGGAGAAGCCTGGGGGAAGAATCACAGGCCCCACACTTAATCCACGGCTCCATCCATATTTCAGCCATAGCAGCCCCCACCCTTGTCTTCCTGTTGTATTTACTGGTATATTTTCAATAATCATTGCTGGGGGTCTGTTCAGTAGCTGGCGCTGCAGAAAGTTCCGGGGACATTGTCATGAGGAGGACAGATGGGTCCACTCTTCCCGTTCTCAAAGTTTACAGCACAGTAGGGGGGGACATCAAACCCACAAGTAATGATTTAAGGCAACCATGATGAAGTGCTACTGTGGGGATAGGGACGGAGTGCAGGAGAACACAGCAGGGGGGTCTGGAAAGACTCCTCTGAGAAAAGATGGCTGAGGCAAGACTTGGAAGAGTGTGGAGCTGACTAGGCAAGTGGGCAGGAAAAGAAGCAGGGGAGACAGCATCCTTTATGAAATCCTTGTGGCTGAGAGGGACACAGACTCATTGGAGGACATAGAAGTGCAGATCAAGGAGGTAACCTGAGATAAGCTAGGACAGTAGGCAGGGACACAGCCCCCAGGGCTACCAGAAGACAGTATTCTACTCCAAGTTTAGTGAGTTATTTGGGAAACCATCCCCTGAGCACTGAAAGCATCAGATTTGCTCTTTCAAAACAGCACTTGAATCGCAGAATCAAAAGGAGTTGGTGTACGACTGCAGTGTAGAGAGGTCCCTTGCAAATCAAATTTTGTTTCAATATGTTCTTTTGGTAAAAAGGGTTGAAAGCCACTGGTGTACAGGATAACATCTAAACATGGCGCCCAAGGTGTTCTTTCAACTCATCTTCCCGAAACACCCTCTTCATTTGTTGCTGTGTCATGGCAAGTGCTCTGGGCTCTAGACTTCTGGTGTTCATCCTCCTCCTCTAATGACTTCTTTCCTCCACCAGGTGAGGACCTGGCTATTTTCTTTCCCAGAATCACCCTAGCCAACCTTTGCTGAATCTGACGAATGCTCTACATTTTTGCTCTATTACTAAGAATGGGAGGATAAGGACAAAAATCTAGAACTTAAAGGTATGGTCATTATAAGCAATTGTACCTAACGCGAAAAAAGTCAACTGTAAAAATTTGGGGGACAAAAGATAAAAAACATATATTTTCTATGAAATATCTCAACTTCTTTCCCACTTGAGTTTTTATAAAAATCTAAGATAAAACCTAAGGAGGCCCACTCCCTCTTTTTATAATCATCATTTCTGAGCCTTTATTATGCATCGATTTGCACTGAAGTATTTTATGCTGTATGCCATGTGTGTATGCATGTATGTATGTGTGTACACACATATACAGAGAGAGACAGACAGAGAGTGTGAGTGCAAGCAAAAGTGTGAGTGGGCACATGTAACAGAGCGCTCAAATTCATCCAAAATGCTTAGGCTGGATACTTTTTTAAATTCGAACTTTTCAGCTGTCAGATAGTTAAGACGGCACATATATCACTAATACACCTCCAATCAAGCAAAGCAGTATTTTGTGGTAATTTTTAGGTTGTTCACATTAAGAAGATAAGTAAAACTACAAGTAACTTCACACCAGCCTAGGTAAGGCTTGGAAAAAGTATTAAAGTGCTCTTCATATGAGATTCTGAGCTATTTCACCCTTATTTTACAAGCTAGGATGATGGAGATCAAGGGAATCTCAGCAGCTCGCCTAGCTTTTGAAGTTCTTGCTGTCTACCTCTGAAGTCCATGCTCTATTTTAAACTCAGAGTGGTTGGAAAGATTAAGATGATTATATATATAAAGTAAAATTTCTTTACCCCAATTGATTTTCCTTGGGTCCATTTCAACATCTCTTTGGAGAACAGAGACCACAGTGGGTCTCCCCAGAGTCTGACTCATGATCTCTTGACGTGTCCTATGCAAAGGCTGGGGTTGCCCCCTCTGCATCATGCTTTTGGGGTTTCAAACCCTGTGGGGATCAAGGAAGGACACAAACCTTGTTCTCATTTGGGTGCCATGATCTAGCCTCATTTCTGCCCAGTCCCTTTGGAGATGTCATTCTAGGCCACGCTCCATACCATCTCCATCAGAGCTGGGGTTTCTAGTGATCAGACTTCTTTGCCACACCTCATGGCTCGCCAACACACATGCACACCTGGACACACACTTCATGCAATGAAGATGTGTCTTCCTAGGGTAGATTCCTTGACTGCATGTCCTTCCTCAGAGCCTGTTAGGCTTCTCCAAGCATAGCACTCATTAACCTATACAATACTTACCCATTGTTTTCTGTCTCCTGTGCTAGACCATAACCTACTTAAGACCAGGAACCAAACCTGGCTTATTTCTTTGAGTGCAGTACATTCTGTGAGTATGGATGTGGGTCTCACCGGGCCCAGGTGATAGTTGAAGCATTTGGGGTGGGTGGTGTCACCCACGGAAAGTATGAGGGAGAAGGAGTCCGGCTGAGCCTAGAATACTGAGGAAGACCCACTCTCACCCACAGGGATGCCAACAGAGACCAAGATTTTAGTACACTTAGTTCTAGAAGATGCTTCTCTTTATTCCTCATTTGGTCAACTCCTGGGAGAATTTTATATGCTGAGAGAATTCATTTTACTTTGAGTTTAGTTCATCAAAAGTCTGAAGCTCAACAGAGGCTTATAAATCATATTATAGCTCAGAAAAATAATAGTTTTACAAGATGAGAAAGCTGTAAGAATTCCCTTAGCAACTCAAAAATGACAAATTCTCTCCCCTTCTCCGTTGCAATTTGGCAGGCCTGCTGCATAGCATTTGTGTAGTGGACGCTTTCTTGTCATGACAGAGTGTGTTACGGAAATCCCAGTTAAATTCCCCGGTATGTTAGTGTCTCAAACTTTGGAATACCGAGGTTCTAATTAACTCACTAATCTTTTCAAATGGTCTCCTTTAAACCTAAAGTGAACATGTGCAACACATCATCCCCAATCTTTGAGGTACTTGACCCCTTTCTGTCTAAAGGGTTTATTCCCTTGCTGCTCCTTTCATTGGGGAATTTGCCTGATTGGGTGAATTTAGTTATGCTCAGTTATGAGTGTGCTGTTGAGTTTTGAAAAGGGATGAGGGAGGGAATCTTTGAAACTGATGTGCTTGCGGGAGGGAGATCAGGTCATGAAACTGCTTAAATTATTATGTTAATTGGCTCCTCAGTGGTTGGTTCACCTCCATGCAGAGATAATTCATGGGAGGTCCCACTGGAGTGGGTCGTACTCAGTAACTATTCAGTACCTAGCAGTTATTACCACTGCTCTTATTCAATTGTCAGCCCTGAATGAAGTTCCTGGTGCATGAGAAATGCTTGACAAACAGCAGCTATTATTGTGATTGATGTCAGGGCTGTCTCCTTCACTTGTGGAGGCTACCTTGAGGGGGCTACCTTGGGCAACTGCTTCAGACAGACATAATTAATAGCCCAAATGAAGCTTGGTTTGTGGTCTCCAGGCTATTTTTGCCAGTTTGCTTCCCAGTTCCAGTAA